TATTGTTCGGCCGTTATTAGAGTATTAGACTCCTGTATGGTCATTGTAACTAAAAAGGATGTCCGTAAAATAGAAAATATTCACCATAGGGCTACACAAATGGTTGATTCAGTTGAAACAAAGAATTGTGTGGAAAGATTAAAGACTCTTGGACTTCCTACCCTCGAAAATAAGACTAGATAGATATGATACAAACTTATAATTAAGTCTATCTATTGTATAGATAATATGTAACGGCAGAATATTCTTACACTGTCAACAAGTCATACTAGAGGTCACCAATATAAGTTAGCAAAGAAGAGATGTAATGGCAGAGTTCACCAATATAAGTTATCAAAGAAGAGATGTAATACAACACAACGCTTTTAAAAATACTTTTTTTCAGTGCGAGTAGTGGACAAATGGAACAGTTTATCTGAAAACACAAATTCCATTAACAAGTCTTCTAAACTGAGAAAATTATCCCTACATAGGTGGAGGAAGTCGTTTCAGTCTTTCAGTCACGGTTCCAAATAAAAAAATGTAATGGATTCGTTATTCAAAGCTTAATACAATATTAACTGTTTTATTATGTGTCGTCTTCATAAGGAATTTATCCCTACATAATTGAAGGAAGTCATTTTCATTTCACTTTCAGATAAACTGATGATGTTTTGTCACTCAATAACCCACATGCCAATAAATGCTTACATCTCATATATCCTTGTGAACTTGAGATTAAGGATACTACCGGAAGTAGAAGGTCTGCTTTATATCTTGATCTTTTCCTCGATATTGACAGAGATGAACAACTGCAAACTAGAATTTATGAAAAACATGGTGATTTCAACTTTCCAATTGTCAACTTCCCATTTCACAGCAGTAACATAACTTCTGCTCCATTGTATGGCGTTTACATATCTTAGTTAATACGGTCGTGCATGCTTACACAATACATATTTCATTTAATGTTGATTTAATAGGGATGTGCTCCTTACAAATAAACTGCCCCTATAGGATTACGAGGAAGAACGACTGAAATCCACAATACATAAGTTTTTCTGTCATGAATTGGTTGACCGATATGATGTGTCGATATAACAACTCATTAGCGATATGCTTTCACAGTCTTATACATAACTTAATTTGTACTTTATCGGGAAAGCATATACTTGTACGATATTAAGTTTTAATATGCTGTTTGTGCTATCAACTACAAAAATGTTTTGGTGTCTATGTCAGATTACTATGAACCACTTTTTGTTGGCATTTTTGTCAGATTTATTTGACATTTGTTTGAATTCGTTTAGTCAGTTGTGTTGTATGTCTGTGATGTATATTTACACAGTTTGGGCTGCTGGATCACAATTATTGTCACATTAACGAATTATGTCTGTTTGGGTTGCTCACCCTATTTTGTCAATATAACGGAACTATAAACATCCGTCATACAAAATGAAGTTTAGCTAGCTATAAAAAAAACAGGTTTAACCCACCAACACTATTCCCTTCGGAAAATGCCTGTACTAAGTCAGGAATATGATAGTTTTCCATTCGTTCTGTTGGTTGATATAGTCTAACGTATGATTTTGTTAGGGTTTATGGAATTACATTCGAGTTCGGAATTTTTGTTAATTATTGTTTTAGATCTTTAGATACCAGTTTATTTTATCGATTGTGACATTTGGACGGAGTGTGAATTCGCATCTTAGGAGACGCTTACAATGTAGACGTACCCGTCACGCTCCTTTTGGAGTTCATGCGATTCCCTCTGTATTTGTTTCTCATTAAATTGTCTCTTCTTAATCGATTCCGAGAGATGAACATAGGTAAGGTACTATCGCCTTCATTCATCCATCTGTTTTAATTTCAAATCGTTTAGTTATGTATTTAACTCGTATTTTAATGACCATTATTTCAACTTATACCAAAAAAAAACCGTGTCGTCGATACCGAACACCCCCGTCTTATTCCACCAAAGGTGTTGAAAGGGGCTGAGATCTAACCAATATTTATAATACACCCCTTTATATCCGTATACAAGTTTGAACCTATTTTATTCGCTGTGTTGAAGATCCATTAGTGGCCTTTGGCTGTTTTCTGCACTTTGGTCGGGTTGTTGTCTCTTTGACACAGTCCCCGTTTCCATTCTCAATTCTATTATAGTTCAGTTTCTTTTAATTTACATTTCAATAAAAATGAATTACATGGTAGAATCCTATGAACAATTAATCTTAAAATGGAAATTTTGTAAATACGAATTTCTGGTTATAATTAGAGGCATGGGGTAAATAGTATTCCAATATTCAATCTTCATATTCAAATCTATTTCCCATTTATTAAGGGAAGATAAAGCTAATACTTTATTATCTTCCAAAAATAATTTATAGAATTTACAAGAACTTTGGTTCCTTTTTAACTTAATCTACCAATTTATTTCCAATATTGTCCAATTTAGAACTACCTTCTATCATATTTTCCATCTATTTGAAATTGCGCTTATAATATCATAAAACTCTACAAAATTGGTATAGATATCATACGTTTTTAAAATTCTCCATATGAGAATAATGTATTATTATCTGACACCAGATCACTAATAAAGAATATACATTTGAACTTCAAAATCATCTTGCCATCTATTTTGATGTTTATTTTCAGCCATATGCACTGGGCCAGAATATCAGTATTATTAATTGCAACTTGGAAAAATTTACCAGGATATCATGCCAAAAGGGATTGACTTTATTAGCTAAATAAAGTAATCCATCTTGACATAAGTATAAAATTTTGTCTTCCCCAAATATTTGTATATAACTTAGCAGCAAAACATTCCAAGGTGAGTAATTTTGTGGATCTAATAATTTATACAGCCAAAACATTTTTACACTATAACAACAAAAGTAAGTATTAAGCATCTTAAGACCGCCATCACAGTGTCTGGACATTACCACTGATCTCTTGTCTTTATCTGGTTTTCCTCTCCATAAAGAATTGGAAATAAAGTTTTGAATCCCTTCTGGGGGTTAGAAAGGATGGTCAGAACTTGAACTAATATTGGAAGTGCTAAAGTCTTAATAACTATTACCCTTCCAATATATGTTGGTTCTCAGTAAGCCCAATTATTTAACAATGACTCTCCCAAATTTTTTGTCTGGCAAAAGCTTTTCCATATCTTTTTTTACCAAATCCATATGGCTTCAGTTTTGACAACATTACACCTAAGTCCAGCACATTCTAAATATCTATCAAACAAATGTAATCATTGGTTTAGGAATTTTGATCACCATCCAGGACTAAGGAAGAATCATCTGCATATTGACTCATTAGAAAGGTATTTCACTTGACCCATATATTTCACCTTTTAGTACGGTAAATTTTTAATATTGTTGTATCAACCTACAGCCTAAATATATAAAAATAATAGAAGCTGAAGCGAGATGATGTATCACATATTTTTCTTTTATACGTTTTCAAGATAGAATAGTCAACTCAAACACGCCTGAACCTTAAAAGGTGTACTCGACTTTCTCTTTTCGATGAAATAATTGCCCATTTTGGGGTTTTTTTCCCAAAAAACTGTCACTGGGAGCAGAGATGCAAATTGATGCTTTAAAAGGATAAATCGATTATGGTCCTTTGGAATTTTTTTTCTGCTGAATTTATGCTTATGCATAAAAAAAAGATCCACGAGAATTTGCACCTACCACAATCGACTGTTTTGTGAAATTTTGTCTATACTTTAAAAGTTAACAAATATCTTGAAGCTCAATTTAATAATTTAAGTAAAACACATACATAACATGCATAAAATCCTAAATAAGGCACTTTTATTAAACTTTTAAAGCCCATAGAAACAGATGTAAACAATTCAAATTTACCAACTTCGCCCGTATATCTTCCCTAACAAAGAGCTCCATTTCTTTTGTTTAATTTCAACTGGGTTTCCGCCTGAGATCCCCTTGACGGACCCACCTTTTCAAGGAAAAAAAATTCTAAAAAATATGCCTCTAATATAAAAGACCATTCGACTGTGTCGAAAGCTTTTTCAAAATCGACTAAAAGTAAAAGTCCAGGAATGTCATCTTCCTACATCTTTTCGATCAGGTCATAAACCTACCTTTTAGAAAACCTTTTCGTGTTTGGCTTTTTATATTTACCAGCACCTTTTTGAGTCTATTTGCTACACTTGCTGTTGTTATCTTATAGTCTACATACAGCAACGTGATAGGTCGCCAGTTCTTTATATAATATTTTGACTTACCTTCCTTTTCTACATACGAAAATGCCTGTACCAAGTCAGGAATATGACAGCTGTTATCCATTCGTTTGATGTGTTTGAGCTTTTGATTTTGCCATTTGATTAGAAACTTTCCTTTTTGAATTTTCAGTATTTTGAGTTCAGTATTTTTGTGATTTTACTTTTTGGTATACAAGTAATGAGTCCCTGTCTTTGTGTGATAGAGATCTTTCCATATTCTAAGGCCTCATTTTGACATCTTACCAGTGGTATCTTAGTATAATTCCAAATGTTTTTATAATTAAAAGCTCAACAGTGAATCTACCTATACCAGGTGATTTGGAATTCTTCATATGTTTAAGAGAAGACAGACATTCCTGCATTGTTAAAGGTCCATCACAGCGACCCACTTCTTCCTCATTAGATTTAGTAATAAAAGGGTTGTCATGTTGAAGAAATGTGTCCCTGTGAGTTTCAAGTAACAATGGATTAGAACTAGTATATGATTTTATATAAAATTGCGTTTGTTCATTTCTAATATTACTTGGATCTGTTATCTCAGACTCGTCCTCCAGAATAAATTTAGGAATTATTTTTTCGGTGTAATGTTTCTTAACTTAGCAGTCTCTTAACTTGTCACGTATGCGCAGAACTCATTTCCATTCATTCATGGCTGAAATCACAAATCCTCCCCTGAATGCTAAGTGAAACCAATATTTTAAACTTCAGAGCATGTTTTACAATAGATTAAGTTTGGGTAGATATAAAAAATAAAAATAAAAACGCAAAACAATGCTTTTATTTGGTTTTACAAACACAACAATTAATAACAAAAACTTGAAGATATATCTCAGATAGCATACCAAAATGGTAAATTGTCAAAGATAATAAACCTGTTTATGCTGGAAATAAAAGTAGATCTGTGAAATATTCGATTTCATATGTGTAAAAACTAAACTAAAAATAATCATAGATAAAAACCAATTAATACTCCGTTATAACATTAAATATGTATTCATTGAGAATGGTTTCGGCCAAAAATTAAACGACGCAATTATAAAATCTGAAATATAATACAAAAAATGTTATGAAATATTTAATAAGAGTAAACTCTAAAGAAAATAATCTATATTTGTCTTTGCCTTTAAATATATATTTTAATTAGAGATAATGAAAACGGTTTTAAACAATCCTGATGAGTCTATTTAGTTTCAGTTTTATAACTGCATACCGAAGAGATATTTAGACTTGGACCAATGCCGTCACTTGCATATTTGTATCCAATTTATACAAGTGAGAACATAAAAGGTAGTTGAATTACTTGGATAAGAATAGTTATCTAAGTATAGCTAATTTGTCGTTAGAAAAGCTAATGGCCAATAGGAAAAGAGGTGTTTATCCTTTTTGAGAAATTTTAAATCAAAATTACAATAAAACCTGATTTTTTGTTAGCCTTAATTGCTGTTGATTAATGTGTAAACGTGCATTGCATTACAAAACGAAAAAAAAATATATTGATTACTGGAAACAGGTTGAAATTTTAAGAATTTGTTTCAAAAACGAAATTATAATAATAGTAATTTAATGTTTTTAAAAGAAATTGATGTTTACGCTATTCAAAAATAACGCAAATTTTGGGGATAGTTTGCATTTCATTTTGTTGTTGTTTTACTCTGTAGCGATAGTCCTTCAATATAGCAATTGGTTGTAATTTAGGTTTTATTTGGTTTTGTCTCGTGAAACCATTCACAACATGAATTCCAAACTTTTTTCAACGCTTCAGATTTGCAATCGCCTATTTTACAATGAGCTAATGCTAGATTCGGAATTTTATTACTAGACGATCGTTTTAAACACGACAAAATGATGTTTTTATTATCCTTTTATATAAAAATGAAAAATATTGATCACTTGTATGCTGTAAAAATAATCATAAAGAAATCAGCCTTAGGCCTGTTTAGAATAAACCTAAATCAAAATAATATTATTAAAGTTATATCCCTATTTTAGGAAGGGGGTTAAATCACTATTTGAAAACAAATACTAAACGTCTTTCATAGATAATCCAAAACTTGGCACCAAATTGGTCAGTTGTATTAAAAAATTATCTCAAAATGTGTTCATGAAAAATGATAAATTAAACTTCATCAGTCATAAATGGTCAACTTATTTGAAAAATAAAAAACATGAAGACGCTTGTAACAATAACAAAAAACTGTAACGATGTTGTCGGTGCCATTTGGTTCCGATCCGATGTCTGTGTCATCTGCACTGGATTAAGAGCTTTTTTGCATCGGAGAATATCGATGTTTTGTTTGTAACATGTTATCAAATCCTTGTTGCAAAAATCTGTTCCACATTGACATATGGAGCCACGCTCTCTTTTTTCACATCCAGTTATTTTGCCAGGCAGACACTTTCTTAAATGTGCTAAAATAAAGATATAAAAGGTAACTTTAAGATATAACGATAAAAAGCAAGGTAAAAAAATTACATTGAGAGATACCATTGAGAGAATCATAATCACGGTATTGTTTTTTTTCAATATAACAGTACATTGGCAAAGGGAAAATTTATAATTATCTAAATCGTATAACCCCATAAAACTATGGTTGAGTCATATATGTTTCAATACTCGAACCAGGTATTACTACTGGTTTAAATATGGCCAAAGTATTGAATATTATAGGAATGTGATTGTTTTTGTTCGTCTTGGCTTTCTAACTCCTTTATTTTTCCCTTTGCTTGTAAGATACAGTTTCTGCAATGTTTTTAGCCTTTTTTTTGTATCTTTGTTATGTAAAAATGATAAACTATGTTAACCAAAGAGATGAGATTCAAAGGTAAACAATAAGAATTCGAAAGGTAAAAACCTACCGGAATCTGTATGAAAGAAATTTTTACGATGCCTGGTTCGACCCCAGACAAATTTGTCGTTAGCAAAGCTAATGGCTAATAGAAAAAGAGGTGTTTATCCTTTTTGAGAAAGTTTAAATCAAAATTACAATGAAACCTGAATTTTTGTTAGCTTGAATTGCTGTTGAATGTCTTTTAATTCCGAGATCAAATTTACCAGTAAGTCAGTTGTGGAAACGGAAGTGAACGTTAAGACACTAGAAACAATACTGTGTTCTCTTTAAGAACATTTCTATGGAATTGAAAGCGAATACTTAATGTTCTGCTAATTACATCAGTTCAACTGAACATAGTATTTCATTATGTAACATGAAGTATGTGAAATACACGAGAAGAATTAACCCACCTTCCATTTTTCCAACTGTGAGTGAACCCACATAACAGTTTCCATTACAGTCAACAATGTGCTGTGCATTTTCAACTGTTAAGTTTCCTTCGCGATCACACACTCCTGGATTTTGATCGGTGTCACAGACGTAGCATTTAGTACCATAAACTTAAATAAATGAAAAACAAAAACAATGATATAAATCATGTATTTAAAGCAATATTTAGGTAAAATGACATGCAACTGTTTTGGTGTATTTACTTTGAATTTGAGATCTTGTGTTCCGAAGGGGCTAATATACAAAGCAATGGTTTCTTTCATGGCAGTTGCGGCATTAATGCTTTGAAGTGACACCAAATATAGATGCAAAAAATAACATGTCAATAGATAAAATTTTATGTTTTATTGCAATATGGATCTTGGACACTGTACAGTATTGTATATGTATCAGTAATGGTATCTGTATTTTCATGATAATTGCACAATATTAAAAAAAACCTGTAATATTGTTTATTACAGTTTATATACGTTTCTTTATATGATTATATGGTTGGGATAGATGACTAAGTCTAGTCTAGTTTAAAAGTGTAATGAAATTTTGAATGATAATACGTATTCATAATGGAAAATGTACCAACAAATATATTAAATGTAAAAACAATGGAGTTACTTTACATGAGCACACAAACAAACACAGAATAACTAGTTACATTCAATAACATTTGATATCAAGTTCAAGTTCTTTAAAACTGAGTGAAATAAAAACATAAATTCCGAGGGAAAAATCTAATGAAACTATTTTGTGTTCTCATACTAGTACTTGACTTGGCTTATTACTAATTTCATTACTAAAATAACGATCCCTGAACGTGGAAAATAGTACAATGACTATCTATAAAAACTAATTAGTGAACGACCATTTGATCTGAGGGGAGGGGCTGACAGATTTTGGAAATAAATATCCTGCCTCCCATTAAATTGGAAGTAAATAATCTTGTCCTATAGCATGGCTCCAAATTGTTCAAAATATTTTATTTCAGATTTCAAGATCTACATGTAGTTTTCAGGTAATAAATGACTACTAGAATGTCAATGTCGGATGTGTACTGCTTGATACTTTACTCTAGGAGAACATGATTTATTTATTAGTTAAGTATTCTTATTTTGGTGGTTTCTCGATTGTTTTTATGTAAGTTTTTTTGGCCTCATACTGAACTTTTGAGATCAGCCAATTGCAACTGATTTTTACAGTTTATTTTTGTGTTGTGATGTAAAACCAATGTGTCAGGTTAGGGGATGGTTGAGAGCTCACAAACATGTTTAACCTCGCTATGGCACGTCAAACGTTTCAATATTCAAAAAATATATTGACTAAAAGAAAAAATATGTTCAACACTTACTTTTATATAAATTTAATGTTAAAAACTTACAAATACATATGCAATATTTTTCTATTTATGTTCAATACTTACAAATATACATGCAATATTTTTCTATATATATTAAATAAAATAAAATTTATGTTCAAAGCTTTCAAATATATATGCAATATTTTTTTATACATATTCAAAAAATAAAAAAGGTATGTGCAATATTTTATATACAGATGTGGTAAAAAATATATATTCAATAATATTGCATTCTGGGTAATATTTGTAATAGCGGATTTCATTGGCTGTTGCAATTTAAGGGGTGCGACACAACTCGGCTCAGAAATAACTCACACCGACTAATAAGTCAACTCGGAACGTCTATCAATCAACTCGGACCGTCTATTATGACAACTCAGACAATGTATTAAAAGAGGATTTGAATAGACTATACAAATGATCATAAATCATTAAATGGTATGTTTTACATGACAATATCATTTGCATGTTTCTGAATTTTAAAAAATAATAATAAAAAAATTGTGTTTATTGTTCTTTGAAAGCTGTATGAGTAAATTACGTTTATAATATTTTGGTAGTTTCTTTTGTTTGTTTGTTTGTTTGTTTGATACAGTTATATCATTGGTTATTTTAAAGTACCATGTTATTAGTCCAAACATACTGGCTTCAATTTCAAAATAAAACTATAACTATAATATATATACTTGCATATCTTTATTTCATCAAAGAATTAAATAATTTCAAGTCAAGTAGCAAGTATGTCATTTAAATAAGAAACATATAATTTAAGCAATAAGAAAAAGCTAAGACGTACACTAAATAAATTAAATAATTTCATATCAAGTAAACATAAGTAACTATATACAAACACGGAGATGAGGTATGATTGCCAATGAGACAACTATCAACCAAAGTTCAAATAAAGTAGATGTAAGCATTTATAGGCAACCGTACGGACTTCGACAATGAGAAAACCCATACTGTATATATAGCCGGGTAAGAAAGGCCCCGACATGAAAAATATGAAAAAATTCAACTGAGAAAACCTACGGCCTAATTCATAACAAAACAATTAACGAAAACAAATATGACAGACATGAACCAACGACAACCACTGAACTACAGACTCCTGACTTTGGACAGGCACATGAAGAATGTGGCAGGGTTAAACAGGTTATTGGGCGGTCAACCCTCCCCTAACCTGGAACAGTGGTGTAACAGCACAACATAAGAACAAACTATAAAAATCAGTTGAAAAAGGCTTAACTCATCAGATCGATACAAAGCAGAAAAACATCAAACATAAAGACAGACCGGACGTGGCAGGGTATTTATCCATCCCGCATCCCTAACAACAAAAAGGACACTAAGTATAAATCTGATAGTACTCGCAGTTACTGAGAGCTAGTTCAAAGCCAATAACAACTTATAAAAACAAACATATATCTAAGACTAAAATATCAATCAGTACACATCCAACATCCAATAGATTTAGTGTAAAGACGTCATTATAAGTCAGAGAAAAACATGACCTTGTGCAATGCCAAAGTTTGTGTGGAAGTTTAGTGTAAAGAGTTGAAAAGTCAAAACTGTCAACCGATTCAAAAGGACCATCAAAAGCACGTTATTTATCTAAAACATCCAAAGCATATTTAACACTCCAAAAATGGTTAATTCCACTATTTTCATATGTTTTATTACAAAAATTAATAATCAGTTCTTTGATAGTAGTTAAGGAACTCGTTGAATACACTGAAATTCTAGTAGTAGAACACTTACTAGAGGTCGAGATGAAACGATATTTTACGGTTTTTTTGTGACATGATTATTTACTATAGGACTCTCTGTGGAGCGTACGGCCTTGAATGTAGTTGAATGTATAATTTCATTCTTAAGGACTTCCGTGTAGTATTTACGTCATATCACCACCACATTGATGGCTGCTTTGTCGTCAGGGACGAACACAAACTGCTTTGCGAGTACTTGAATTTTGTTTTTAATCCTAGAAATTCTATTTTCTTTTATTTATTTCTAAATTATTTTCGAAATGTGATATGCGAATATCAACAATATTGAGACATTTATTCAAATAGGAATCAAATGATTTTTTGTCAGATTTCTCCCGTTTATACCATTTTTTACAATAGGATGAAAGGGCATCTATAATAACCTGACGACACTCTTGTCAATTTATTTTCGACGGTGGACGATATTTTGGTTCTTTTTTCAAAAAGTTTATAACCTCTCAGTCTTTGACGATATTGAGGTTCCCTGTAGTTACATGGCCATAGGGATCATTTCTAAACTTAGATGTTTCACAGTCTCATGTCGAAGGAGCATTATGTTCTATACTGACGTCTGATGTAACTGACGTATAATTAAAAATTAAAATTCTAGTGGCTTTTTTTATATGAATAAGAAATTATAGGTGGCTCTATGTTATCGAAATATGGAGGTATAACGTTTTGAACGGTAGAGTCATGAAAAATACTAGACTAACTAATCAAATCAATACCTCTATTAATGTATTTTATTTTTAGGAAATACTTATTATGAGGTCAGGTTTGTCAATTTGAGGGAACAGTCTATGGTGACAAAAGGCTGCAATAGTTCGTGTACACTCATATTTTGGACTGAAAAACGATACTGTATCACACTCGTTATAAATATTATGTAATTTACTAATTGGTTTTTGACCCATTCACAGTATGTCATTCACATAAGATGCATACGATTTGAGCACTAAGTATAACACGTGAGGTATTACTTAAAACATGTAATAAAGAAACGTGATATCATAAAGTTCATATTTCAAAAGCACTATAAAGTTAAAAGGTACGAATCATCTTATAAGCTAGAAATGAATAATGCATATAGCCAAGCACTAAAGTTCTTTCTAAGCACAATGTAAAGTTAATCCCAGAACACTGACAAAATGTATTCAAACGGACGGTCCATAAATACGGCCATACTTCTTCAGGAAGTGACTGACTGCCATGTATTTGGTTGCATACTTACTCCATGTGGTAAACAGCATTCCTTAGGACTGATAAATTTATAAAGATAATTGAAAATTTGTATTCACATTATATAATATTTTATTAATTATATTTTGTAAATTCAGAAACATGCAAATGAAATTGTCATGTACAAAATGATGTAAATTATAACTTTTATTATTATACTTCACGTTAAAATGCCATATTTTGATTGGCTAATACGAGGGTGTTAATTTACTCTATTACCCTTCATGGAGACGCATGATCAAGTTTTCGCTTTATTAAATACGACTATCCTATGGCAAATACTCTATTACCCTTCACGGAGACGCTTGATCAAGTGTGCGCTTTATTAAATACGACTATCCTATTGCAAATACTCTATTATCCTTCACGGAGACGCTTGATCAAGTGTGCGCTTTATTAAATACGGATGGTTGCTATGACCAAGACGTCATAGTTTATTACTTTGAATTTGAAATTTAATCGACAGTAATAACAGAACATTCAATATAATAAATCAAATAACACATATCTGAGAGGGTGATAGAGCAGATTGTTACCCCTCGAAAAGACATTGTCAACCTTGGCTTCGCCTCAGTTGACAATGTTTTCTCGGGGTAAAAATCTGCTCTATCACCCTCTCAACTATATGTTATTTATATAATGGTTTATAATCATTTATATAGTTCAAATCCTCTTTTTAAACCTTGTCTGAGTTGTCATTAAAGACGGTCTGACTTGACTTTGTAGACGGTCCGAGTTTACTTATTAGTCGGTCCGATTTGACTATGTCCGAGTTATCTGCTGGCCGAGTTGTGCAGCATTCGTTAAATTGCAACAGCCAATGAAATCTGTTTTTATAAATATTACCCAGAATGCAATATTATTGAATATTTATATTTTTTACCACATATATAGATAAAATTAGATATAAAATATTGCACATAAATTTTTATTTTTTGACTATATATTAATAAAAAATATTGCATGTATATTTGAAAGTTTTGAACATAAATTTTTTATTTTTTCTAATGTATATAGAAAAATATTTTATATATATTTGTAATTATTGAACATAAATAGAAAAATATTTTATATATATTTGTAATTATTGAACATAAATAGAAAAATATTGAATAAATATTTGTAAATTTTGAATATAAATAGAAAAATATTGCATGTATATTTGTAAGTTTTGAATATAAATAGAAAAAATATTGCATATATATTTGAAAGTTTTGAAAAAAAATATTTTACTTTTTGAATATAAATAGAAAAATATTGCATATATATTTGTAAGTTTTAAACATAATTTTTTTTTAATCAATATTTTTTTTTTATATTGAAACGTTTGACGTGCTATACCTCGCCACATTCTTTATATGCCTGTCCAAAGTCAGGAGCTTGTAGCTCAGTGGTTGTCGTTGGTTCATGTCTGTCATATTTTTTTGTCGTAAAATTGTTATCTTATAAATTTGGCCGTTAGCGTTTTCGTTATAATTGTTTCGCATTTTTTCATGCCGTTTATAGCCAAATATACGGTATAGGTTTCTCATTGTTGAAGGCCGTTATAATTGCTTATAAAATGCAATTGCTTACATCCACTTCATGATAGTTGTCTCATCATACCACATCTCCTTTTTTAAAACTGTAATTGGGCATTGGTCGAATCAAAAAAGTAAAGTACAAAGTTGAAGAGCATTGCGATTCTAACATTCCAAAAGGTTTTGCCGAATACAGCTAATGTGATCTATTCCTGGGGTAGAAAATCCTTAGTATTTCGAAAATTAAAATTTTTGTAAACAGATAATTTAAAATGATGACGATATCAATGATAATTTATGGTTGAATTACTTTTATTTAGGACAATATGATTCTTGGAGTTTGTGCTTCTTTATGGACGAACAGAAAAACAAATATTCTGGCTCTGTTCTGATTGATAATATATAATAAATAAAGATTCTGATCTAATCAAATTGCCAGGCCCCCTTCGGAAATAAATGATCGTCCCGTTAGTATATATATATACTCGATTTTGTTTTAAGGTTTAGGGGCGGACGATTCAAATGCCGTATGTTTGTGTTTTAACCACTTATGTGTAGTGCAACGACCAATTGTCTTCTCTTTTTTGTTTTTGGTTTAAACAAAGTCGATGCTGTTTTCCATACGTCTGTAGTAAATTGATAAACTAATGAAAAAGTCAAACCATTTGAATCAATATCTAGGTAACGTCACTACATATTACCACAAAGAAACAATATACAGCGAAAACTACATGTTTTCTGCTTTTTGGTCGGGTTGTTGTCTCTTTGACACATTCACCGTTTACATTCTCAATTCTATGTACATGCATGGTTACATTTATTGTTTCTTACCTTGACAAATATTGAACAAACAAATCAGGATAATTATGAGGTCCATTTGTTTATGTTATTTCACATTCTTAAATACTAAACAAAACAACATGTAAGAGGCGTCTTACTTAACTTTGTCGGGTCACGTGCAAACTAGTGACTAAAAAGAGAAATACTTGTATCCGAATCTACTTCCGTTATGATTGTTTATAGTATATTATGGTATAGAAATTGTGTGGATTGACTATCATATAATGTACACATAAATATGTACCTAAAAAGTGGGAAGTTGAAAGTAGTATAAGTACAATGGATTTTACGGAGAAATGACAGGTCATATCCTTGACAGTTATAATGTAACAACACGTAGGACCTTTACTTTAAATTGACATTAATTGGCAGCAATACTAAAATGAAAAGTGTTTAAAATGTCTCTATTTCGAGTTAAAATGTAAGCAATTAAACCCATTTAAACGTGCATCAACATAGTGCAATGTTTTGAAGAATGATCTTTTCCGAAGATATTTATACGTGCATTTTTGCTAGAATTTAGAATAACAACCGTGAAAACTGTAGCCAACACACAGGATTCGTTTCTATTCGAATTTCTCTACAAAAATGTAATAAAATCATAAACTTATGTTATAAAACACTTTTTGGAGAAAAAGTTCATACACAGCAAATTCTCAATAATGACTTCAATTATGAAAAATAGAATTTTTATATTATTTATAAAAGTAGCAAATAGCGCTCTCAATGTGCTACATGTGGATCAATATATGCGCACGTATCCGTATCAAAAAAGAAGCTTGGTAACTTTTTATGAGCTTTTGTAATCACTGGACCCATGCCACAGCTTGTTGACGTTCATTCCCGAAGGTATCATCAGCCAAGTATTCAACATTTTTGTGTTGACATAATAAACTCATCGTAGATACCAGGATCAAATTGTACACCAGACGTGCATTTCGTATACAAAAGACTCATCTAAATACGAAATTGAAGAGTATTGAATACCCAAAATTTCGAAAGGTTTTGTCAAATACAGCTTAAAAGTAAAATAACAAAATATCGAATTTCAAGGAAAATTCAAAACGGAAAGTCTTTTATCAAATGGCAAAATCAAAAGCTCAAACTAGGTAATCTTTGTCTTGGGTAGGTATCCTTAGTATTTCGAAAAATTTATTTTTTAATGATCATTGATACGTTCATTTTCTGTAAATTTCATGGTTATAAAATTTTCAATTATTAGAAACACTAAGGTTTTCCCATCCCTGGCAAAGATATCATTCGCTGTATTTGGCACAACTTGAGATTTTCAATGATCCTGAACTTCGTTTTGGATTTGACCTTGCAATTGTTTTGAATCGAGCGTCATTGGTGAGAGTGCTATTGGCGAAACTCTCGTTTGGTGTACCAAATTATAAGCCTTGTATCTTCAATGGCTTTTTTTCTGTAATTAAGGAACTCGAATAAACCAAGTAAGCCTGTAACATATCTCGTAATAAAGAATTTTAAGTGAATTGCTTTAATTCGTTTGTCCTCTAGAGACAATAAGACGCAGTTATAAGTGTCACACTAGATTCGATAAGCATATTTCTACATGCAATGAATCAGTATTATCATAAATATAAACGATATTATGGTTGTTATATTTGACTCTATAAATACGACCATAATACGAAACAATGCACCATATTTGCCTGTCCAAAGTTAATTTGTCGTCAGAGTTGCTTTATGACTATAGTTGAACAGATATTTCTATATTATTGTGTTTTATATACATAAACCAATCTTACTATCCGACCAAAATAACTTTTTACCAGAGGTTTCTTGATTTGATACCATTCCAACGAAATGACGAAACCGAAAAACATAAAATACTATCAGATTATTACATATCAGTTTTTCATATCAGATGTAATATTAGCACTAGGTCATCATATTAGCTCAAGAGCCAATGCCTCGAGGGCTAATATTGACCAAGGGATGATAATACATTCTATATGAAAAATGTCATGTAATGATCTTTTTTTCTTAAAGAGTTGACGAATGATGAATGTTCATAGCTGGTAATTGATAATGAGTTTCGAACTAAAATTTAGGACAAATTATTTAAATTTTCAAATTTACAATTTCTATATGTGATAGCTTACACATGTATATGGTGTATCTCAGTTGATACGATCTTGAATTTGGATCAATGTTTTCTTCGTAGAGGGTTGCTGCTTACAAAGAATATAATCAAACAAGGAGTCTTTTAACTCAATTCATCTGTTTGAAAATTTTATGGGCACTGCCTTGAATTGCTTATCTATACGGTATACCTGTGTCTCCGACAACAATACATATGTTCCACTTGTAGGTCCACTTTTCCTCGATTATGACATTACCAAACGATCCTAAAAATGTATCACCCGATTTTTACTTACCATGAACAGGAAAATTGTCACTGGTGGAGCAGGAACAGCGATTTCTTCTCGAATTCAGTCGTGGTTTTTAGTGACCGTTTGTGTTTCCCGGTCTTTTGCCTGTGTTTTACTTTTGTGGATGATTATGATTTTTTTCCTTTTTGGACGTAGGACTTTGTATTTCTCCTCGTTTTTGTGGTTGTTTTTTGCCATTTTTTTTTTTTTTCCTTTTTAGCTCACCTGGCCCGAAGGGCCAAGTGAGCTTTTCTCATCACTTGGCGTCTGTCGTCCGTCGTCGTCGTCGTTAACTTTTTACATTTTGAACTTCTTCTAGAGAACCACAGAATGGAATGAAACCAAACATGACAAGAATGTTCCTTATGAGGTGCTGACCAAGTGTTGTTACTTTGAAGCCGATCCATCATCCAAGATGACCACCAGCGGGGGACTTAGTTTAACATAGGACCCTATGGAAATACATACAAATGTCTTCTTTTAGAGAACTACTTAATGGAATGAAACCAAACATAGCATGAATGTTCCTTTTGAGGTTCAGACCAAGTGTTGTTACTTTGAAGCCGATCCATAATCCAAGATGGCCGCCAGCGGGGGGGGGGGGGGGGACTTAGTTTAACATAGGACCCTAAGGGAAATATTTACAAATGTCTTCTTTTAGAGAACCACTGAATGGAATGCAACCAAACATGGCATGAATGTTTCTTATGGGGTTCAGACCAAGTGTTGTTACTTTGAAGCCGATCCATAATCCAAGATGGCCGCCAGCGGGGGACTTAGTTTAACATAGGACCCTATAGGAAATACATACAAATGTCTTCTTTTAGAGAACCACTGAATGGAATGAAACCAAACATGGCATGAATGTTCCTTATGAGGTGCTGACCAAGTGTTGTTACTTTGAAGCCGATCCATAATCCATGATGGCCGCCAGCGGGGGACTTAGTTTAACATAGGGCCCTATGGGAAATATTTACAAATGCCTCCTTTCAGAGAACCGCTAAATGGAATGAAACCAAACATGGCATGAATGTTCCGTACGAAGTGCTAACCAAGTGTTGTTACTTTTAAGCCGATCCATCATCCAAGATGGCCGCCAGCTTGGAACAATGTTTAACAATGGACCCTATGGACAATACATACAAATGTCTTCTTTTAGAGAACCACTGAATGGTTTAAAACCAAACATGGCATGAATTTTCCTTATGAGGTGCTGACTAAGTGTTGTTACTTTGAAGCTTATCCTGCATACACGATGGCCGCCAGCAGGGGGACTTCCTTTAATGGGGAATACATACAAATGCTTCTTCAAGAGGTGCACTGAATGGAATAAAACCAAACATGGCATAAATGTTTCTTATGAGGTGCTGATGAAGTGTTGCTACTTTATTGCCGATTTACTGTTCAAGATGGCCACCAGGAATTTTTATTAAATTACAGGGCCAATATTAAACCAAATTTGGCCTCACTCATTATTAGGGTAACTGTTATGATTTTAATCTATTTTTACATGATTTACAAACCAAAGTAGAATCAGGTGAGCGACATAGGCTCTTGATAGCCTCTATTTTTACAAGACAAGTAGTCAGCACTTCTGTGTTGACATGAATTATCATCTATATTGGTCATACTCATAAATTAACTGATTATAAAACTTTGAATTTTTCGCAATACTTAGGATTTTCTACCCCAGGAATTGATATACCTTAGCTGTATTTGACGAAACCTTAAATTTCGGAATTTTGGGTCGTCAATACCCTTTAACTTTGTACTTTATTTGGTCTTTTTATCTTTTTTGATTCGAACGTCACTGATGAGTCGTTTGTAGTTTATTTCCATCGTATTGTTTTTACAAGAACCCTTATAATAAGGGTTTTAATGTCTATTCTCGAATATGCATCAATCAAATGTTAATTATCAAGCGGGTGACTAAGTGATTTGTTTTAAAATCTTTATCTTCCAACAAAAATGAAAAGGATGTCTTATCTTAAAGATAATAACCAATAAATATCATCAATAATCATATATCGGGTAAATATCATTTTAAAATCAAACAAATCCTCGATTCTGGTGAAATCTCTTCTATTTGCTTTGAAGTAACACTTGGGAAAAAATCTCTATTGTTTGTGAAAAACAGTATGCTTAACCTCTGGTTGTCCTTTTTAATAGTTTGGATTTATAACATAAGTGTATACCATATATATCTCTCTTATTTATAATAAAATATCTTGATATGAACATCAGAGCTCTGTTTGATCATAATACTGTAAAGCAAATAAATGACTAAAAGTGTTCCTTGTGCACTTGAAAAGTTCAACACTGTGTTACGGTGACGAAATGACAAAAAAATATGTGACTGAGGGAAAGATTATCTCTTGTTTATGACACAACCACACCACCAATTTAAATTGCCAAAAAAAATGAATAGCTTTTTAAGTGCATTATCGTAAGAGGCATATCGCTATGTCCCTAAAAAGACAGAGGCACACATAAATATTAACCGAATATATATTTTTTCATAAATGTACAAGTCGTTGAGCAACTATTTAATTAGAAAATGTAGGATCTTTTTCACAATTATACATATTAGATATCACTCGCTTTTTAAAGTGGCACTCAAGTGTAGATTACATGTATCAATATCAAAGGAAATATGTTACGAATCATTTTCTGGTGGCAAAGTCGATATCCTTCGCAAATGGAAACCAAAAGAAACCAAGAAACCAGGCCATTAAAAAAAATGGAATAATATA